GCTTGAGTAAACCTCTTTGCTGAACACACAGGTCACAAGAGTTTCTCTGAGATGAATGGGGTAAACCTTCAATTTGAACATCGTGTTTTGTTTTCTGTGTCCAGAAATTCTAAAGTCTGGGCAGGTGACCAATATTTCCTGTAATTTTCCAACTCAGTGGGACTGCTTATGTTATTTTTTCTTGGAAATCCCTGGATATTGTTTATTACTACAAAGCAAAGTCTGGTGTCCTGAATTAAGTAACTGAATATGAAAAAAAAATGAATTTAGTTCCTACTGAATTCAATCAGAGAACTCAGCTATAACTTTTTATTATTATTATTATTATTTACTTGAATAGAAATTAAGTTCAAAAATAAGAGCTGGAATTAACCCAGTATTTTCAACCTGCCTTTCTGCACAAGTTACTCTTTCATCTGTAATTATCAAAATGACCATTATTATCTCTGCTGCTTGTCTGGTTGTTATCCATGGCAGTGTTAGCACAATTTTGTATCAAGACTAAAAACTGCTATTAATAGCTATTGGACCATTCAGACAAGGCTTCTTCATGGATATTGTACACTAGGAACAAGAGCATTTGCAATACCATTTTTGCTGAATGAATCACCAATGAAGTCAGAACCCGGGTCTCACATCTTCTTGAATTTTGTTATATGCCTTAATGAAAGGTTTTGGAAAGCAGATGGTAATGCAGAATGTTGGTGTTCATGATGCTGGTATTAGTGATGTTGCCTTCTATGGTATGCAAGTGTCCTGTGGGTCAGTGGGCTACTCAGATACTTCTTCCAGCCCTTCACAAATATTATCATGCTGGAGACCTCAATATTGCTGGCATTACTTCTCAGAATTACGTGCTTTCACATTCAATAACATTTGACAAAGCTCCCTCTCCTGAACTCTTTGATGACATCATGTAAGGAGTTATTGGTTTACTTATTTAAAAAGAAAACAATATAAAACACACTATTGAATAATGTTCTTCAATAGGTTATGCTTATGTTGCATCCATTTTGGTGGATTTATTCATTGAAATGTCTACTATGATCTCATTCCCCTTTTTTTGCACATTGTACAGGATTCCTTTTAAGCTTTAAGGAACATATCAAGATGAGTACTATATGATTTACTTTCCTTTTTAAGAAATATTTTATTGCTAAATCCTTTTTCCAGGTTCTTTTTGTTCCCCAAAATTGTGTCTGCTCTATCGTAAAATAGTTGCACATCCCATAGACTTCCCATTACACTCATGAACTGAACAGACTGGTTCACAAGAGCTCAATGTTACAGGTGGTCTGTGTAATGTAATCCCATAATAATACGTGGGGGGCAATTATAATATGGTGTGTGTGTGTGTGTGTGTGTGTGTGTGTGTTTATTCTTTTATATGCTGTCTGTTTTTTATCTTTGAAACTTGTCCTCTTTGTTTCAATGCCAACCAACAAATTTTGTTGCATGTATCAAGATAGTGCCTACCCCTGGAAAGTCTTGACACACCTAGAATGAACAGAAAGTAATTGAGGGATAAGCTGGTAGGTCACAGCAGAATCCACCAGAGATGACAAGTGGTTTTGATTTTTGCAACAAACAGACAAACTCCTTTTTCCATATAGTTCAAATAGAGAAAGCTTGAAATATCCAAGAGTGAATTTTTGAATGATTCTGGGTAGCACTCAAAGACATTTCTGGATTCTGACATTTTAATAGAAGAAAACATCTGTGGCTCTGGTTGAACTGTGGAGTTCTTGGTACTTTCTGAGCTTGGTTGTTTGCTTACAGATGTTTCATTACCCAACTAGGTAGCATCATCATCTTACATTTTAATTCTGGACATATAATTTTGTTCTAGAGCATCAGCTAGCGATCTTTGAATGATAGTAGTTGAAGATATATTCATATATCCCCTATCCTCTTTTTCATTGAAGTCATTCTTTCACATTGCTATTGAGAAGACCCAACCTTGTTACTCCAGCAACTAACACACATCTTTTTATTTACTATGAAAGGCCATTTACAAGTACAAATCTGTAAAGCACCGTTAAACTTTAATAGGAGCCCATCCACTCCAGGCCATCAGGATGAATAATCTCCTGTTCTGTTTTAAAAGCAACTACACAGAAGTTCACTACTTGAAGAGTTATGTAAACAATTCATATCTAAAAAGACTACAATGATGTAAAATGCATCCAAACTGTCTGCTTATTCTAGGAGCACAGGGCTAATATATTTGAAATGCAAGTCCATATAGAAAGGACATTATAAGAAACATGATTTATACTTTCAGTTTCCTGGGTTCATATGAGCAGCTTCTCCTATACAGGGGAGTTTGAGAGTTAGTATTTAAAAATCATTGGGGGAACAAAATTATATCTAGCCCTAAAAACTCTCTTTGTAGCTTTGGACTGGTGAAAGTGTTTCATTAGTTGTTCCCTGGTGATGTTTTGAATCCAAGACTTTCTCTTTTATGATAGTCTCTTCCCTTCAATTTGGTGTAACTCTTAGCAGGAGAATCAAATTAGCTGGTCATATCGTAGAAAGATGAAAACTCATAGCAAGTTTTTAAAATCAGTTTTGGCTTTCCACTTCAGTAATGTTTCTCTGCTGGAACTAAAGGAGCTCAGCCTGCATGCCAGGGGCAGGGGGTGGAGGGGGTGGATCTTAAGGCAATAACTGACTGGTTTCAAGCCCTCACTTCTGCAGAGATATCCCAGTCTCTAGTCTAAGTTCAGCACTGGATATGCATCTTGAGGCAGAAAGAAGCATTGACAAAGCTTCATTCCAAATATAACACAACAAAGTACCTTGCAGAACTTTCAAGAATAATTCATGATGACTGAAGCTGTGTGCACAGAAAACATCTCTTTTTGTTGATAAAAAAAACAGTAAATGTCATTAAATGGCCAGGAAAGATTGTTGGTTGCCATTAGGAAAAACTAATTTTTGAAACGCATCCTATGATCCTATTTTTAAAAAACTGGTTCCAGTTGCATATACTGCAGAATGAAAATGAATTGGGAGATCACCTTTCAGCTTTCTAACTTAGAAAAAAGTATCTTTTGAAATCTTAGTGAATTAGTAAGAAAACAAGCATACACATCTAGATTTGTGAATTGTTCGGCTTTATTGGACATATAAATAAAATGAAAAAAGTTTCAAACAATATGTGTGGAATGATGAATCTGAACATTGTACATACACACCAAGCAGAATTTTCTGAAAATGAACTGTTGCTAGCCTCATATGCAGAACAGTTTTTAGAAAGCATATGGATCATCCTACTCTTCCTTCCTTCCTTCCTTCCTTCCTTCCTTCCTTCCTTCCTTCCTTCCTTCCTTCCTTCCTTCCTTCTCACTTAGCTCTGGCATTTGGTGTAAAAGAAATCAATGAAAAGTCACATTTTAACAGATTATCACCCTGAGCTTTCTTAGTGGAACATCGTTAATTATCCAAATTAAATTCAAATTTTAAAAAGTAACACATTAGAGATGTGTATATTTCCCAAGTCATACTTTCCTTGAAAGTGGTGATCTAATCTACTTAGATGCAGCATCATTTCTTTGATATGTATTTAATTAAAATATAGCAAGTATTGTGTTCTGACTCATATAGATTGTCATGCAATTGATGTATTTCTTTGCAGGGTGTTAACGCAGCATTACCAGCATATCCTGGCACTGGTGTTTGCTGTAAAAGAAATCAATGAAAACTCACATATTTTGCCAAATATCACCCTGGGCTTCCAGATCTATAACAGCCATTTCAGTGCCAGCTGGACTTATCTTGCCTCACTGGAACTTCTCTCCACCTGGAAGAGGTTCATTCCAAACTACAAGTGTGACAGCAGGAACAATGCGGTTGCAGTCATTGGGGGACCTAACTCAAACGTCTGCCTCCATATGGCCCCATCCTAGGAATCTACAAGATTCCACAGGTAAGGAATATCTAGACCTCTGATGCTTCCATTATTGATGTAATTAAAATAAGAAGAACATTTGTGATCTCTTTAGAGTTAAGACTAACATGTTTATTTTCAACCTTCATATTTGAATGTCAGAATTCCTGTTTATAGAGACTAAAAATATTTAGCCACATTTTTTTTCCTGTGTTCAAAAATTTGCAGCAGGTCCTTCATTTCTTTGTAGAAGTTGTGCCCAAAACGAATTTCAAACAAACAATCCTGTTTGAAAGGCCCATACCAGGGTCTCCTTACCCCGAAGCAAAAATGGAAAAAATGCAATTATCAGTCTGGAAGGATACTGATGAGTTAGTTTAGAGTTAGGGTTCAGTTCAGCAAAACATTGCACAGTTCTTGGTCAAACTTCATTCACGTGTCCCTTCTCCAATTGTTAATAGGATGATTCTTAGATTGATTTCAGTCACTGCTTTCCTCCTGTGACAAAGAGGATCAAACATGAATAGAGATACAATCAACCTGCTTTGGCTTTCATTGTGTAAGAAAACCAAATGAGTGATATTTTCTAACATTTTCAAGTTCATGGTGATTCCTTCTGTCCATGTCCCCAGAGAGTTTTAGTGGCTATGGTCACTAAGGTTAATTTAAATAATAATAATAATAATAATAATAATAATAATAATAATAATAATAATAATAA